AAGAGATTTAGAGATACAGTATTATGTCATCGTTTACAAATAACAATAATATTAGTGTTGTGAATTATGAACATAGAATAGTGATCGGAAATTTATATATCTGATTTGGTAAGCATCATAAGCAATCTAATGTATTTACTACAAAAATGTATTGAATTATTGTAATTATTCAAAATACAAATGTCTGTAAAATATGTTGTTTCGTAATTTTTCTTAAATCCATTCAATTACAGGAAAATTAATAAATTATAAATAATTTTATTCATCTTTCCAAATTGACATTTTTATAGTTATTTTAATATATTCGCTAAACAGTTAAAGATACGATAAAATATTTTTAACGAAATCATTTAAAATTAAATTATGAATAAAAATATGATTAGATGAGTTGATTATTTGTGGACAGGAAGACATGATTCTGTGCTATCGAAGTCTTTTATTATCGTTATATATAAATATGAATAAATATTTTGATATTTATTTTCTGTGCGGCTTGTGTGTGCCATATGAATATTCATAAATGATAATAATATTACTAATATTCGCTACTCGTATAGTTTATTACTAAATTAATTACTCTACGTAATATAATTAGTTATTTGACTAATATTTTATTTGACTATCTAAGATTGGTTCAAACTGATGAAAAATTAAACAGTTTGGCAATGTTATCAATAGAGAATGACATGTTAAAATAATTTAATTTTGAAGATTTAATCGACTGTATTGCTACTACCAAATTTCGACGTAGACCGATATGATTACTCATTATCATATCAAAGTTTGAAAAATGTTTATTTATTTATTGTATGTATATTTTATTTTTATGTAGTATTTTTTATGTGTATATTTATTTTATGTAGTTATCAATTATTTAAAAAACATTTTTACTCTTCACAAATTATGTTTTATTATTTAAATAAAATTTGTTACTAGATTAATGTATATTTTATAGTTATAAATGATAATTTGGAGTAAATCTTAGTTTTTAAGGGTGGCTATTTTTCACAGACCTACAAGCGGGAAACATGTAATTATAGGGTTTTTGTAACAAGCAATTCGATTAATACATAAACGATATTTTGATATTTTTAATTTTCTGAAAGATAACTATGCATCACAATACTCGATGTAAATGCAGTTTGTCAACTTGCATAAATATAAAAATATAGAAATCGTGTAGATAATTGCGCTAATAAATTATAATATTCATTTGGTATGAGAAATAAGAACATTTTAAGCATAATTTTAAATTACATACTATGGCCTACTGCAATTTTGATGACAAACGTAAGTATATTATTTTTGTTGAATCCGTAAATCACGCAAGGTGTGGCATTATAAATGTTTAGTCCGAAGAACTATATACGGATTTATGTACACAGAATTATTTGTAGAATAGAAGTGCTTTATTTTTTTACTGTAGGAAAGGACTTAAGATTAACATTTTGAAATTTAGATTTGATTTAATAAGACTTATATTAATTCATATCTATGGACCTTATTACTGTGGATATGATTTTTGTGGTAATACAAAAGCTAATCTACTATGATAATCTTTTTTATCTAACAGTTTCTATACGTTAAAACTATCCTTATACACTAGTGTATAAAATATATAGATAATATCAAAGGAAAATGTTATTGAAAGTAAAATTTTCTTAGAGGTGGAGAAAAAGTTGTTTACACACAATTGGATAATATACTAATATAACAGGTACTCATGAGGGCTACTCAATAACTTTTCGAAAATTCTTAGTGTCATATTATATCTTCTACTTACTTTCGTTTAAACTCAATGACGCGAAGTATATATATATTCAATTATATCATGCAATAAGAAAACAGTAAATCTATCTATTAGTTAAACCTTATAAAAGTGGGAATAAATTTAAATCATTATCATATCGTTCCAATTTTAAATTAATATTATTCCATTTAGTTACAAACATAAAATATATACATTATTATGTATTTTCGTTTTGATAAAACATTCTTTCTTGTCCTAGGTTGAAAGATTATTATAAACTAGTAAAACTCGTTGTGTCCTTTTCAACAGTGTCTATAATGACCATCATATTATAATATTTGTTTTCATATATATTACACTAAATGTAAAAAAAATGTAAATACGTTTATGTTATGGAACGCATATAGGGGTCGGAAGAACGTAATTTTATTATTTCCCGATTTCTGATAGTGTATAGCGTAAAAAGAAGGTAAAGAAGAAAAAAAATCGAATTACAATTGTATTTCAATAGGTCAATACTATAATATATGGGATACCACTACGCGTTATACTACTCGAATAAATACAAAATATAGTAATTACCTATGTTGCTAAAGCTATTCATCGAATTTCTCTATCTTATGATAAATATGTAGTTCATTATTGTTTATATATAATGAAATTATATAGACAATAAATTTAAGTTACAAACATTTCAGTAAGCGCTCGTTTACAGTGGATTGTACAAGAAGCGAAATCGGATTAATTTGATTTGATGGTTCTCGGCTGTGTGCTCAACGAGTTCGAAAAAGCGTACAAACACCGCAGTGATTATGCCCCAGAGATTTGAACGATCGTTGTTAGTACGGTCATTGGTTCTTTCGTGTTAGTAATTCCAATATTCGTTGTACAAAATATAGGAGAGAGAGAGTGAGAGAGAGGAAAAATAATAAGTTTTTTATTGCAATAGCAGAAACATATTATGATGTAAAAAAAAAAAATCTAGTTCGAGTACAAATCGATCCCGTTGTGATTACCCGCGTGTATAAGATTAATTATTTTAACGTTTTCCGCTCTGCTAGTACAGATTTCTGCACCTAAAAGAGTAACACCCCATGGGTGTTGAACGATATTATTACGACGATATTATACGATACGGTTATTTTCGTAAGCTTGACCCTGCGCACACATATCTCACGTGATAGTTCACGCTGCCGAAAATTAAAATACGGAATAGGTTTTTGTACACACATACACACACACACACACGCGCGCGCGTGCGCACACACATACACAGTTCGTGACGCGCAAAATGTTTATATTATTGGAATATAGGTGCAATATGTAAATAACATATGCGTAAAACAAAGGCGAATAGTATATATACCAAGGGGGAAAAACGGTTATATGGCGAAACAACTTGTCGATGGTTAATATAAACTTTACCCGGTGGTTCCCTCCACTCACGGGTTAACGTTGTCGTGATGTAAATCACGTTGAAAAAAAAATATGTAAAAAAAATTTAAAGCAAAATAAATAGACACTGTCCATTCGTATTCAGTGCGTGTAATGCGATTATCGTGTACACATATACATATGTGTATAATTTTTTTTGACCACTGTTATATTATTATTATTATTTTGTCTCCATCGTCTTGCCCGGCTAATTATAATAAAACCCGGTGGGTGTTGTAAATAATCGCGCAATTGGCTACACATTGACCAAGTTGCTGCTATTATGAATACAAGTTAATTTTGTTATGCACATTTTGTGTGCTCGAACGTATACAGGTATACCTATACAGTACGTAATATTATTTGAATAAATATGTGCTTAATGGTTTTTTATTTATGGAGGTAGGGATATGCAACAGTTATATTTTGGTCGATACGCATGTGCAGTTTTGTAGTGTATCTACGCGGTTACGTGTGTGAAGTTAGCCACCCCACTATAAAAAATACTTTCCAAAACCTTATTTTCTTAATTTTTAACTATTTGTAACCAAGTTTTTAGAATTTGTAACCTCATATTTTTCAAGCTATGGGTACTTTCTCATTGAGGGACTAACTTCACACAGCTCCCCCAACTCAATGAAATCGTTCAAAACAAATTGTAATTTATAAAACTTAACTTGTAACTATTTGTAACCAACTTTTTAGAACTTGTAGCCTCGGCCCTTCCAAGTAATCATACATTTCTTAATGAAGGGATGCCACCCCTCAAATTCAACGAAATCGTCTAAAACAAGTTGTGACTTATAAAACTCAATTGGTGACTATTTGTAAGCAACTTTTTAGAATTTGTTACCACATCAATTTTGAGTACCGATGGATTTCCCTTAAAAGATATCTTTATAAAAAAGTCAAGATTGTAGTTTATAATATCACCCAATTAAATCAATCGCCTAGAACATATCGTAAGTTGAAAAAAATAGATCTATATTTAATAAAAATAAATAAATCTAGATTGAATAAATATGTCTTAATTAACTAGAATTTTACTTTTATTTTTATTTGATTAGGCTAAAATCTTAAATAAAATATATTTTATAACATACTCAATTTATGAACAATTTTTTTAGTATTTAACAGTTTATCTTTCTTTTCAAACAAAATTTGAACAATTTTGATGGTATATCATTGACCACGATTTTATTTTCATTTATCGTATTATTCTTAAAAACATCTGTTTCCAATAAAATATGTTCCTGCAGTACTCTTATACAATTTCTACTTATTTTTTCGTAGTTAGGACACCATTTTTCTTTTTTTTTCCGTAACATATGTTATTTATTTAAATATGTATTTACATCTTCTAAGAGTCCACTACTATTTAACAATTCGTTGAGTATTATTGTTGTATTATAAAATACGGTTTTTGTTGTACAAATGGTGCATTCCAGTATTTGTATACTGCTAGGTATACTAGAAAAAAGCTTGTTACATAAAGCAATAACTTTGATATTTGCGTCCGATATTAAGGTTCAAATTCTACTGGGCACATTTTAAAAAGTCCATTTCTACTAGCAAATTACCATGTTAATCATAAGTTATGCTTGTACTTTCACGAAGAGGATATATTTTCATTGTCTTATAAAATGATTCATTTTATTATTATCAATATATAACTTATACCTTTTGTTATCGATATATCTTACTGTTATAGTTACTAAAAGTGAATCAAAAGCACACATGTTAAATATCAGAATTTTTTCTTTATCTACTTTAAGAGCTGGTAAAATATTTCTATTTATTATCATTGATAATAAAGTTTATTGTAATCCTGAAGTATTTAGTACATGACGAATAATTGAACATGGACTTGTATATTTCGAAAATCGTTTGAAACTTTTTTCTCTTTTTTGATTTTGATAGGTCGGTCTAATTTATTTCTCCAATTTTCTTGTGTCATTAGTTCATCTGTTATCATTATATTGATATCAAATTAATATGAATTGATAGAAATATCATCATCACTATAAAATTCAGATTCAACATTATTACTTACATTGCTGTTTTTATCAATTTCCCTATTTGTTTAATTACATCATATCAGAACTATTGTTCGATTTAATATCATTTTTTGATTTATATTCTTGATTTTTTTTAGCTTGTAATGATCTAGCCATTTTCAATTCTCCTTCTATTGATAATAAATGTGAACCAACAAAACGGTCTATGGTCCTAAGTGACTATCTCAATTCATTTTTGGCGTGAGAAATATATCCTTTGACTGGTGCTGAAGTGGCCTTTTCATATTTTGATTTGCAGTGTCTAGCCATTATCTTTGTCTAAAGAAGAAAATCTTTTATAATACGAAGAAAAGAAGCACATAAAAAAGATAAAATATACTTATTCACACGTGTATAGGAGAAAACTGCTACACGTTCTATTTTTAATAAATGTATCCATATTATTTTAAATATTACTATGACTTTGAACATTATAAACTTGTAACATAATTTTTCTTCATTTTTTTCTGGAATTTCTTCGTCATCTGAAATTACATTTTCTTTGAAATCAACATTTTCGATTTGTTTTAAAAAATTTTCCCTGCATTTTTTTGACAAAGTGTAATATTTTGTACCTTCTAGATTACCATCCAATTTTGAAGATGCAATAACTAAAATTTTAATTAAAATTGTTTTTAATTAATTGTTTTTGATTTTTATAAGGAGAATTATGGCTCTAAAGTAAAACTCTTTAATTTTTCCGTGATTTCTTATCTTAAAATCTTTATATCTACCAATAATTTTAAATAAATGGGAAATATCCAAACGCACATAAATATCTAGTCTAGAATTTGGAACTATTATATAATCTTCTCCATCTTGAAGAATCTTCAAACTCAGTTCACAGTATTGAATCTTAGACAAACCGTAACAGAAAGCACGTGTTACAGCTCCTGTACGTGCATTAACCTGCCCTTCGTTGAGAAATTTACGATTACTCGGAAAGGCCGAGGCTACAAATTCTAAAAAGTTGGTTACAAATAGTTACAAATTGAGTTTTGAAAGTTACAATTTGTTTTGGACGATTTCGTTGAGTTGGGGGAGCTGTGTGAAGTTAGTCCCTCAATGAGAAAGTACCCATAGCTTGAAAAATATGAGGTTACAAATTCTAAAAACTTGGTCACAAATAGTTAAAAATTAAGAAAATAAGGTTTTGGAAAGTATTTTTTATAGTGGGTGGCTAACTTCACACACGTTACGCGGTTTGCGTTTAGATTGACGAAACATCGTGTTCCATTGACTATTTATATTAAAGTATAATATGTATACATAGGTATCGTACAAGGTGTTCCACGAAGAAGATAAGCGTTTAAAATCACAATATCTCCTATGATGATACGGACAATAAATATATTTTATTTCCGTTTTCTTTTTATCAATATCTTCTTTTTCTTCTTCTGCTTCACCTTTTTCTCCTCGACTATTTGGGATCGGCCACCCTTGTCTTAAACCTCCACTCGTATCCATTTTCTACGTCCCGTGCGTACACATAAACGGCCCTCGATCATTTTCAAACATATTTAACCATCTCTTTTTTGGTCTTCTTCTTCCTCATTTAACTACAACTTTCATTTTCGTAATAACTTTTACTGTATTTGTTTCCTTTAGTCTCATCACATGCACAAACCATCTCATTCTATTTCGTCTCATCTTGTTCATATTTTTTTTTATCAATATAATGTAAATGTTTCGCGAAAACTATTTAGAAATGGTTTAATTTTCAAATAATGAAACAAAATTACCGGGGGGAAAAACAAATCTTAATCCGTACAAGTGGTAATTTTGCGATTAGTAAATTCCTGACTAGAAACACCGAACACACGCGACTAACATATAATTTGCAGGCGCGTGAGCATAAGACGTATTATATGCACTTTACGATGCGTCGTAAATATAGTAGCATAGATCGAATTGACAACGGTGAGCGAAAAATGCTTTCACCCGTACGTTACACGAATAATACACGTATAATATACGACACACCATATTGTGTATACACACACGGTAATACCGTATAATACGAGTGTATATTCCGCGACGCATAGAGCTTTCGCGCGGAGAATACATTGCATACCTTAAAAAGTGCGCATACTTACATGGGGTCGGTATTATAAAAGTTCAAGCTCGGTAGGTTTCTAAACGTCATTACATCAACGCCGACATTACCGGTGGTGTACACTGTACACGAACACGATTGTAAATGATTTTGATGATTTTAAAACCGCAGCAACTATGCGTATTGAACGCATATCGCTATATAGAAGACAGCACAGATCTTTTCAATTTTACATTTTACACGCACATTAAAGTACAATTTTCCATATGTCATATGGATGTATTTATATAATATATTTTTCCGACTTGCGTTGTAAATATCTACCTGGTATTTAAGAATAAAAATATTTAAAATTTCACCCGGCTCCGCATGCTGGATTAAAAACAAAACATTAATTATTACGACGGGCCACGTGATGATAATTATAGGTAAAGGAAAATGTGAGTATAAAATAAAAATTCAAACTAATGTAACGACGTAAATGAAATTGAAGAGTACAAGATACACTATATTAGTTGAAAGGAGAAGACGAGAAAAAAAAAGAAGAAAACATAATATAAATAATATATATTACAATACGTATCTATTTCGACTTGAGTAGTGGTGGCGGCGGTGTCACGCGATTTCCGAGAGGTGAACTCGTCGTCGTGTATATACACCGCGTTTTGCCCCCAATAAATCGCGTGTGTAGAAGGATACGCGGAGGCGCGACAGCGTACATATATGCACACGATATTATAACGGTAAATGTCCAATAATATTATCCGCTCCGTTGGCCGGCGCCGCCGTCACCGATTTGATTTTATTATTATTATCACGTATATATATATATATTTGTTATATTATACGTATACAATGTAATACATAGTCTTAAATCCCGTTTTATAAAGATATATCGAAATACAAATATTACGTATTTTTTTTCTCTCTCAAAACAATGGTATTTACGTATATACGTGTATAGTTACAAACCGACTATGAATATATGTTTTTATATACATATTTTTTACATATATATATATATATATATATATATATATATATATATATGCGATACGTACATACTTACTAAAAATTGTTGTTTCCAAAAAACGAAATAAAAAAGAGAAAAAAAAAAAAAAAAAGCATACGGTAGTTTAATATAACAGCAACGGTTATTCCGTCAATAAATTATTAAACGATACAAATATGCATACGATAAATTAAATGTATATACACAATAATATGACCATTTTGCGCATAATATTTACAATGCAACCAAATTATTGTTTACGGATATGATATACTTGAACGCCCACGTGTTGCACAACACTGTCTCGTGTATTTGATTTATTCAAGTTATTATATTGTACAACAGATATTGGGCCGAAAAATAAAATAAAATTTCGTCCTGACTACATCGAATATTGAAATTTCACATCGTCTTTTTCACGCCGAGGATCTATAATATATTATGAACACGGTTATTGTTTTTCGATAAGCATCTTATACTATATACTAGTATATGCATCGTTTGCATAAGGAGGCGTAGGTTCGTCGAATGACTCAAAATAAAATCTAAAATATAATATTACGGGCACGCGGTCGTTGTTTCCAGTGAATTTACATTGCATGAGGGAATAGATATGGAAAGAAAAAATAATTCAAATATAAGGAATGATGACGACAAAAAAATATGCTCCAGTGTAGTATGTTTTACGAAAAAAAAAAGTAAAATCTTCTCTGCATGGAAACGTAAACATTTTAATTGCATCCTTTTATTGCTGAAATACGATTCTATATTAGAATAATATATTTCCGTACAACAATTTAAAGCATTTCACCTGTTATAATTACTATCGTTTTACGAAGGACGCGTTTTTTTTTATTGTAAATAAATGCGAGGCTATAAACACTGTTATGTATACGTTATACTATCGAATTGTTTCATATACTCAATGTACGTTATAAAATTTTATTTACCCACATTATAAGTAATAAAAAAAAATAATTGAACGCTAATTGCGATTAGTATATATTATATGTTATCGAGTAAAAATGCGTTGGGAAATAATAATATAATAATACTTGTGTGCGTTATTATCCTTATCGTTTCTAAACGCTGTGTACAATGTAAACAACCCGCGTGGTTGGCGAATAAAAAAAAAATTGGCGAATAAAAAAAAAAATTAAACAAATAAATAAATCTAGGCTCGAGAGGCTAATTAAACGTTTTACAAGTGTAAATTACATTAGCGTGCGCGTATAACATCGTACATAAATGCACGTATACTATAAAGGCGTTAACGACATGCGTTATAAACCGATTTGTCTTCCGTTGCCCACGGCCTTGTGACGCGGTGTTATTCAAATACATTTTGTTGTCCGAGAGGTCGTGTTCGCACAGTACACGTACAACTCAACGTCGCCGGTCGCAGCAAAGACTTTGTGCACGATAGTCGTAAAAAGATGTTGAAATAAAAAATGTACGAAAATAAACGATAATAACGAATGAAAATACCAAACATGCGTTCGTCGGGTTTTAGTGTTCGAAAAACAAGTACGAACAATGTTAAACAGGAAACGACGGCGTTATTTGAACATCTAGGGGTATCTCCGCGTACAGTAGTAGCAACCGTACATATTTTACTCCTGCTGCACATGGAGCAAAAACTAAGCTCATTATTTTAGTCCAAATTGAAATATCATTCCTCTAGGTGGTATCTTTTTATCTATTACGATAAACTTAATACTTTTTAGTTTGATCTAAACATACTATTGAACAGTGATGTCCAAACTTTTTTCCTTGGCGAGTCATATTGGTAAACAATGATCTTATAGTGGACCACCATATATAAAAGTACGAATAACATCAATATTAATCTAACAATGTTATTTTATTACACATACGAGTAGTAGGTAAACAATATACATGTTATAACAGGTACATATTGAATTTGTATTGATTACTGAATAAATTACAGATTGAGGTACATGCTGTAGGTACACATTAATTTGATCCCTGCACGGGTTTTATCGTGAAATTTCTATTTGAAAACGCTCAAATATGAAATTAATGAATTTAAAAAAGAATCGTATATTATAATAATTTTACTTTGTTTTTAATATTTTATTTAAAAAAAATATTGTAACGAGCCACATTTAATACTTTTGGGGGTTGGGTTACTGCTATAGGACGTTCAACACGAATTCTTAACTAAGAGCTGAAGTCCGGTCCAAACATAGTACACATAACTCTTGGACTAATCAATTTCGATTTAAATAAACATAGTTTATTAGAGAAATTAAATTAAGATATAGAAATGTTCACTTCTGTTGTGTGTTACGAAAAGAAGTTTAAAA